TTACAATAATTAATACATTGCATATTGTCTTTGTAGTAATTTATAGTAACAGATACAGACATGATATCCTGTCCAAACACTGAGTACAAATCTTTCTTCTCATTGAACAGAGAAAGCAGCTGTATAACTATGCTATTTTGTATATACACATATGCATTTTTTTCACTACAAAATGGTCCTTCATTTATGTCCCCCTTTTTTGTTTAGTTTTGTGAGAAATGGGTATCGCATTGCCATTTAAATATTTTAGGTGTTGGGGGCCTGCCCATTAGCTCAGTTGTTTAAGTGCCTGCTTACCCCAAAAACCAGAAATGCCCTGAAGGCATGTTCAGGCTGCTCAAAAAAGAAAAAAGAAAAAAGAAAGAAAGAAAAATTGTAGGTGTGTGAATTCAGCAAAATAATCCAATATAATGGACTGGGGAGATAGCTCAGTAGAATAAGTGCTTGCCTGGCAAGTGCAAGGTCCTGAGTTCAATTCCTAGTACCATAAATAAATAAATAATCCAATATAGTCCAGTAGTCCATAATAGTAGTGGGTTATACTTAAGACTGGCAATGTCAGAAGTTGTTGACTTGAGCCTTTTATAACTCAGCATATTAATCTTAAATTCTGTATTTAAAAGACTTGTTTTTATAAAAGCATTGTTATACATATGGACCCTTCATTTATAGCTTCATGCTTTAGAATGTCATAGAATTGACCAATAAATTACTCTTTCAATGCTTGTTTTGAGACTCAATCAGCAAAATTAATGTAGTTTTGTTTTAATCCCCACAATATAAAATAACACACAGAAACTGTTTTAATCTATTCCCAAAGTAACTGACAACCTTGAGGTGTTTCCACTTTCTTGCTACTACAATGTTTCTAGGTGCACACTGGTTTACTCTAAGTACTACAAGAAAAAAATAGTAGGCTGACATTGCTGAATTTAAAGAAACACTAATAACCCATTTTGACTCTGCTATTATTTAATTATTGATTTATTGCTTTCTTATTTCTCAGTGTACAATGTTTTGAAGAACAGTAATAAGATGTCCAAAGTTCAACATTATTAAACATTCAAACAGTAAAATACAATGTGAAAAGGCCCTCAAATGTTAAATACTCTAAGCTCTAGCTTCAAAACCAATACAGATAATAGCTATTGGACTTAATACTGTGGTTTAAGATAAGAATCACTGTCCTCTGATCCAGAGAGCTCAGAGGTATAAGTGCCTGCCTGGCAAGTGCAAGGCCCCAAGTTCGATCCCCAGTACAGTAATAACAGCAACAAAAAGTCACAAGGAAAGTACATGATAATTAGTCTCATCTTACACTGCATTTCACTTACTTCCATATTTAGTCTCATTATCACAATGATCTTCTTGAGGACAAGAACCTTACTCTCATGCCTTCACAGATTATAGATCAAGGTATGTATTACAGCACTTAGCCAACATTTGCTGGAAATGTTTTGTTTTATTTGCTTTTTGAGACAGGGTCTCTAAAATTCTGGCTGGTCTTAAACTCATTAGGTAGCCTAGGCTAGCCTTCAACTGACAGCAATCCTTCTGCCTCAGCCTAAAATTTCAAGCATGTTGTACCACTACGCCTGGCTTACAAGTATCTTGAAAGAAGCCATTTCTTATCCACAGAGTCCCATAATTACTTTAACAAACAAATTAACATTAATTAATGTAAATTTAAGAAATATTTGGGCTGGGGGGACAGCTCAGCGGCACAAGCACCTGCCTGGCAAGTGCAATATCCCAAGTTCGATCCCCAGTACCGCAGAAAAACAAGAAGGAAGGAAGGAAGGAAGGAAGGAAGGAAGGAAGGAAGGAAGGAAGGAAGGAAGGGAGGGAAGGAAGGAAGATTGATTTAATGCAAATTTCTATGTACTGCATACTATTTTGGAGATAGGATAGTGAATGAAACAGACAAAAAACTTCTCAGCTTTCACTGCATTTATTGTCTACTGAAAAGACAGAACAGAGATTAAAAAAAACAAAACAAAACACAACAAAAAACAAACCATGGTAGGTGGTGGTAAGTCCAAAGAGAAAAATAGAGTAAGAAAGAAATGGAGCATAAGCATGAGTAAGTGAATTATAATTTTAAATAATGTGCTAAAAAAAGGTCACACTTTTGTGAAGGAAGTTTGAAGCAAAGATAGGAAGGAGTTGAAGGAGTAAGCCACAGCTGTGCATATATGGAAGAGTAGTCTACATGGAGGAAAGAGCAAATGCAAAGTCCTGAGGTCTAAGTGGCCCTGATCCAATGAAGAAAAAATGGGAGGCTGATGTAATTAAATAGACTGAGGAGTGTTTCACTGGCTCAGGAGTAGGTAATGATGGATCAAATCCTCTAGCAAGAAGTAACAGGTATTTTTGTAAAGGGTCACAGAATGTTTCACATAATCTATGTCTATCTGCCTCTCACAACATCTTCTTTTTCCTAATCTTTTAAAAATGTGTAAGTTTGATCCTTGGTTTAAAAAAAAAGTAAAACACATTCCTAGCCTCCAGGCTAAATAAAAATTGGTTGCAACCAAACTATACTCCTGCCAACCCCTTGATACACAGCTTTATAGGTCACTAAAAAATTTTTGCATTAGGAAATGATTCCTTGGTATCACAAAATATAGAGAAATAGCTCATAAAATCTAATAAACATAACAGTAGCCTATTAAGTACTTCACTTTTAATCAATACATCAAGCTACTCCACTGTCCGATTTGAAACTAGTATTCAGTCTCAACTCTATTAGAAAATTTCTTAGAAAGGAGTTGGTCTTCATTTATCTGTTTCACATATACTTAACTGACCATCTACCAAGAGTTAAACACATTGAAGGAAGAGAATAGGGCATCATTACTTACCAAACTTATTTTTTAAAGGGGGAAAGAGACAGCATAACCTACAAAGCAAACATCTAGGCAATGTAATGAGTTGCAGAGAGAGCACATCCAGCTGTAATGGTCTGGGAAGACACTGCTGAGAAATTACCGGGAAGCCAGCTATATAGAGAGTTGGGAGAAAACGCACAGAGCATAACAAAAACAAAGACTCTGAAGATAGTAAAGTCTTGTTTTAAAAAGTAATCAAATGTGGAGAAGTGCATGGAAGGTAGTGGTGGGATCACAGAGGTGACAGAAGGTAAAATGCTGAGGAACCTTCCAAATTATGCTAGAGTCTCAGTTTTACCTTGAGGATAACAAGAAAACATAGCAAGGTGAGTCAACATATATTTTAGGTTTAAGAGTTCAGTATAGGTGTTGCAAAAAGGAGACTAGTGGAAGACCAAAGACCAAGATAGTGAAGCAGACCTCAGTTAGAAAGGAAAGAAAGAAACTGCAAGA